CCCCATGTCTTTGTGTCCCCGCCGTCCCCCCGTGTCCCCGCAGGCGCGCGCCATGGCGCAGACGCTGCAGATGGAGATCCCCAACTTCGGCAACAGCATCCTGGAGTGCCTCAACGAGCAGCGGCTGCAGGGGCTCTACTGCGACGTGTCGGTGGTGGTGAAGGGCCACGCGTTCAAGGCGCACCGCGCCGTGCTGGCCGCCAGCAGCTCCTATTTCCGGGACCTTTTCAACAGCAGCAAGAGCTCCGTGGTGGAGCTGCCGGCCGCCGTGCAGCCCCAGTCCTTCCAGCAGATCCTCAGCTTCTGCTACACGGGCCGCCTGAGCATGAACGTGGGCGACCAGTTCCTGCTCATGTACACGGCCGGCTTCCTGCAGATCCAGGAGATCATGGAGAAGGGCACCGAGTTCTTCCTCAAGGTCAGCTCGCCCAGCTGCGACTCGCAGGGGCTGCACGGCGAGGAGGCGCCGGGCTCGGAGCCGCAGAGCCCCGTGGCGCCGGCGTGGCCCTCGGCGCCGGGCGCCGCGCTGCCGCTCGTGCCGCGCGTCAAGACGGAGCAGGGCGAGCCCGACGGCGTGCAGTGCACCTTCGTGGTGAAGCGCCTGTGGGACGGCGGCGCCAAGGACGGCGCCGGCGCCGCCAACGGCGCCCGCAAGATGCCCAAGTTCTCGGCGCCCGACGGCGGCCGCCCGCCCGCGGCTGGGCCCAGCGCCGCTGACCAGACGAGCCCCGGCGGCACCTCCAGCGCCTACACGAGCGACAGCCCCGGCTCCTTCCACAACGAGGAGGACGAGGAGGAGGACGGCGCCGAGGAAGGCTCCGACGAGCAGTACCGGCAGATCTGCAACATGTACGCCATGTACAGCATGATGAACGTGGGGCCCGCAGGTGAGGCCACGCCCACCCCCGGGGGCGGGGCGCGGCGGGGAGGCCACGCCCGGTGTGGGCGGGGCCTGTGGGAGGGGGTGGGGGCTCCTAGAGTCCCCCCAAAAAAAACTCTGGGTTGGGGTCTGGATGGGCTCGGAGTGGCGTTGTGCTCCACCCCCCTTTTCATGGAGTGGAGGCGGGGCTTGGGAGGCCACGCCCACT